CCCAGCTACTTGGGAGGCTGAGGCAGGAGACTCACTTGAGCCCAGGAGTTGGAGGTTACTGTGAGCTGTGATGTCACAGCACTGTACCCAGGGGGACAGCTTGAGGCTCTGTCTCAAAAAAAAAAAAAAAGAAAGAAAAGAAATTAGTTAACTAGGCAAAGGTAATGGCAGAAGGAACAAATCTCTCCTATTCCTTGAAGTTCCATGGAGGGAAAGTAAGAGACTAGGCAGGGCTGGACCATGGTAGCTTACACCTGTAATCCCAGACAGTTGGGAGGCGAAGATGGGAGGATCTCTTGAGCCCAGGAGTTTGAGGTTACAGTGAGCCATGCAGTCCAGCCTGGGTGGCAGAAAGAGATCCAGTCTCTTACAATATATAACTATGTAAGTAAGTATGAATAAAAAAAAAATAAAAAGGAGCACATGGGTAGTTTGTATGCTTAGCCCATGAACATGCCAGTCTACATGAGATAACAAGTTTCGATTTCTCTTTAGGTGAAGCAGTCCCAGCCCACTGCTGCATCCTGTCAGCCTGCAGCCCCTTCTTCACAGAGCGCCTAGAACGGGAGAGGCCAGCTCAGGGTCGGAAGGTGGTTCTGGAGCTGGGGGGTCTGAAGATCAGGACACTTAGGAAGCTGGTGGACTTCCTGTATACCTCAGAGATGGAAGTATCTCGAGAAGAAGCCCAAGATGTGCTTTCTGCTGCCCGTCAGCTCCGTGTATCTGAGCTAGAATCCCTTCAGCTTGAGGGTGGAAAGTTGGTGAAGGCTCCTCAGGGCCGAAGATTAAACCGAGAGTGCTTACAACCACCAGCTGCTGCCCCAATCTCTGCCAGAGTGGTGGTACCCAACCGCCGACCTCGAACTCCACTGCCTACTACCCAGACCCCCTGTCCTCTTGGGGCAGTGAGATTGAAGTCCTTAGGCAAGGACGAAGGGTCTCAGGAGAAAAACAACGGACAGAATGCAGAGGACTTGTCTGGCACTCTTCTGCTCAAGAGGAAAGCCAGAACCTGCCCAACTCCACAAGAAAAAAGCTCTTTACCATCAAGCCACAGTCAGGGGCCAGAAGAGAATAAGAATGACCCTGCCCTTGATCCTACAGCACTTTCACCACCCAGCTTGTACCCCTCTGGCGATGAGCGACTATTACCCAGAAAGATTAGGCTGAGTCGCTCAAAGCCATCTCCTGATATCTGTCCATCAAATCCTTCCAGCATGTTAAGTAGACCCAGCTCAGTGCCTGCAGCCCCTGGCCGGCGTCTGTGGCGGCAGAAGAGTATAAATAAAGAAACACCAGAGAATAAGCAGAAACTGGGAAGAGCTAGTCCTCTACAGAGCACTGCAAGCTCATGTGGTCTTGGGAAGACAAGCGGGAATAAGAAGAGGAGCCCTGAAGACAGGGCACCTAACTCAGACTCTGCAGAGGAGGGGCAGGTTGGGAGAGTGAAGCTTCGCAAGATTGTCAATGGCACTTGCTGGGAGGTGGTACAAGAGCCTCCCCTCAAAAACTCTCAGGATAGCCCTCAGATCCCAGAACCTGGAGGAGACTTAGTAGAGCCTCAGCCTTCCTCAGTTAAAGAGCAAGAAGTGTCATCTGCTGGTTTAGAACTGTGTCATGAATCCCCTGTGTGTTCGAGGATACAAGACGTTGTGCTTTCTACTAGCCACTCCCCAGGCCACCCGGTGGTGACATCCAAGTTTGAGTCCAGTCCAGAGCTGGTAGGGAAGGAACCTGTGTTGGATATAGACTGCAAGGAGCCCTATGCCTTTGACACAACCCTGCTGGAGCAGCCCTGTGAAGCTGAGGAGTACCGAATTACAAGTGCTGCCGCCACCAGTGAGCTGGAAGAGATCTTGGACTTCATGCTTTGTGGCTCAGACGTTGAACCACCCCTAGCATCTCTGCAGAGTCCTGAAGCTGAGGGCTGCAGAACCCCTAGTTACCACCTGACAGAAACAGCAAAGAACTGGATTGAAGGGGAAGAATGGTGTTTGCCAGACCTAGAACTCTGGCCCAGGGAGCTCACGGAATTGGAAAAGGAACCTGTTGATGAAAGCAAAAAGCCAACTGAGCCCCTTAGCTCCCTTGTCATGCCCTCTGAGATGAATGAAGGAGAGGTGCTTTCAGTGGATGGCTCTTGGACTCCAGATCTTGAAATCACTAGCTCCCAGCCACTGGATGGTCAGGGAGACAAACTTCACATTGACTCCCTTAACACTCCCCAAAGGTCTTATGAGGACCTCTCACCTCCCTGCTCAAACTGGGCAGACACTGGTCTGGAAGTGTCCCTAACTATGGATGAGGTATTATACCCTGCTGCAGAGGCAGGCAAGGAGGTATTTGGTAACTCTGAGCTACTGAGCCCACTTCCTACCAGCTCTGAAGAAGAAGAGATTGATGTGGTGGACTGGACAACAGAGGGGAAACTAACACCCACTAGTATCCCCTCTGTATGGCCCGACCCTTCCTCAGAGTCAGAAACAGAGGTAGATATACTAACGTAGTATAAGGGGTTAGGGGCCCTGGGTAGGTGGGAAGTGTTGGCTAGCAAAAGACTTACTGGCAGAGAAGCTAGCACAGGATCTCTCCTCTTAGCACAAGAGGCAGGTATACCCTAGGCCAGGCGTCCTCAAACTAGCATGGGCCACATGCAGCCTGCCTAGGACGTTTATCTGGCTTGCCGGGTGTTTTTGCTGCCACTGCCTGTCCTGCTTGGCAGCCAACTCGTCCCGGGGCCCACAGCCTGGCCCTCCAACAGTCTGAGGGACAGTGAACTGGCCCCGTTTATAAAGTTTGAGGACCCTTGCCCTAGGCTATTTGTAGGTTTCTTCCTCCCCCCCTAGGCCTTGGGAGCCAGGCAGAAGTTAAGAAGTACCATGAGTAGAAATTATGAACTTGAACCATCTTATTTCTTTGTAATCTATTTTCCATTTAGTGACAAGTAAAACAATAAACTGTATGGTCCCCAATTCTAGTGGGTATAGTTAACAGCCAAGGCCAGGTCTCTCAGGTCACGAGACACCTGGTAACTGCTAATTCAGGAAAAGCTGAGAACCTGCTGTGTTGGGGTTCTGTAAGGAAGTGTTCCAGAATTAGGTGTGAAGCAGTGATGGACAGAACACTAAATTGGGGGAGTGATTGTGCGTGGGGCTTATTCATTGCCCGTGTGTAAAGTCTAGCCAGAAGATGTACTTCCATCATCACTTCCATGAAGTAAAAAGATAAAGAATTTTTTTTTTTTTTTTTTGGTAGAGACAGAGTTTTATTTTGTCACCCTCGGTAGAGTGCTGTGGTGTTACACAGCTCACAGCAACCTCTAACTCCTGGGCTTAGGCAATTCTCTTGCCTCAGCCTCCCGAGTAACTGGGACTATAGGCGCCTGCCACGATGCCCGGCTGTTTTTTTTGTTGTTGCAATTTGGCCGGGGCTAGGTTTGAACCAGCCACCCTCAGTATATAGGGCCAGCACCCTAACCACTGGGCCACAGGCACCGCCCGATAGTTTTTTTTTTTTTTGGAGACAGAGCCTCAAGCTATACCCCTGGGTAGAGTGCCGTGGCTTCACAGCTCACAGCAACCTCCAACTCCTGGGCTCAAGCGAGTCTCCTGCCTCAGCCTCCCAAGTAGCTGGGACCACAGGCGCCCGCCACAACACCCACAACGCCCGGCTGTTTTTTGGTTGCAGCCATCGTTGTTTTGGCGGGTCTGGGCTGGATTCGACCCCGCCACTTTAGGTGTATGTGGCTGGCGCCTTAGCCACTTGAGCTACAGGCGCCTAGCCAACAAAGTTTTAAAAAAAAAAAAATACTCTGCTCGCATAGTTTTCACAAACATCTCACACGCTTTACCAGAGACCCTAGGAGTTCCAGGTCAGATGGTCAACCATGGGCTATAAAAAAATACAAGGACCGGCAGCGCCTGTGGCTCAGTGAGTAGGGTGCCAGCCCCATATACTGAGGGTGGTGGGTTCAAACCTGGCCCCAGCTGAACTGCAACAAAAAATAGCCAGGTGTTGTGGCAGGCACCTGTAGTCCCAGCTACTCAGGAGGCTGAGGCAAGAGAATTACCTAAGCCCAGGAGTTGGAGGTTGCTGTGAGCTGTGACGCCACAGTATTCTACCAAGGGCGACAAAGTAAGACTCTGTATCTTAAAAAAAAAAAAACAAAAACAAAAAAACAAAGACCACCAACCCCATAAAGCTGGCTTTGTCCATCTCAACATACAAGTTTAAGGTTTACTCTTACAACTCAAATGCTTTATTTCGACTTTTATTAAACCAAATCCAGTAACTTTTGCAATGCCTTACTAGAGGGTTGCCTCAAAACTGAACCATCATTTCTGGAGGGGAAGAAACTGTAGCTTCAGGCACATGACTTAAGTTTGGCCATGTCCCGTCATACATGCTCCAACATCACCAGCACAGAAAGCTGCAAAAGTGAGAAGGGAAGGGTTAGAGGAGGGATCCAAGCAATCAAGGCCCAAGGAAGACATACCTCACCACCCCCCAACCTCACATACCTAGATGCTGAAAGAATGCATCCCTCCCCAAATCTTAATAGAACAAGTGTAAGAGAACATGTTAAAGCACTGTATGAAGCATTACTGACAGAGACATGGTCAAATCCTTGTAACCAGTAGTGACGGTGCTTATAGTGCAATATTATCATGTGGCACTGTTAACAGAAAACACTAAGAACAAAAAAGCATAGGGGTAAGAGTATATGAAATGACATGAAAGATTCTGCCAGTGCAAAAGGAAAATCACTAACTCATACAAATAGAAAAATACGTGCCAAAGATTTTGTTTCACTCATTAGTAAGTGAAGCAACAATTTAGAACTGGTTCAAAAATTAAAACATGAGCCACCAAATAGGCTATTTCAAACACAAAAATTGGTCCACAACCTCAGGGCAATAACTAACTGCATCTCCAAAGCAGTTAGATGCAAAGGACACAACTGCGGGTCTCTAAAGATTTACTTACATTACCATAAGTATTCTACAATTTAGCTTGAAGGCAATAAAAGACAATGAAAGATGGAGCCTGCAAGATGGGAAGTGAGTTGTAATGGTAAGGACTGCTTTCCAACTGGCCAAACCAAGGTGACTCCTCCCTCCCTCCCTGAATGCCTCCCCACCCCTACCTATTTCAAACCTCAGCATAAGGACTTCTGCCCAGAACTTCCTACGAAAGGTACTTCTTCAACTCTTCCACCACTTCTTGAGGCTCAGGGAATTTGAGTTTGCGCGGAGGCCCCTTCTTAATCCCAGTCCAGAGCTCCGTACCTGGCAACCGAATAAAGCGACATTACTTTGGCATCCACGAGTTCCTCTCCAAAATCATCAGGTGGCCGCGGTTTCTAAGACCTGCGCTGCTGCTTTTGGGGCCCCATATCCCTCTTTCCCTCAGACTCGGTCTCCACTCACTGCTGCCGTCCGGGCGCAGCAATGTCACCTCGAAGCTGCCTCTACGGGGCTTGGCAGGGTTCACTTTAACTGGAAGTTCCGGGGCCTCCAGGCGCAGCGCCTGGCTCAGGGCCGCAGCGTTGCGCCCATAAACGCGTCAGCTCGTGCTAAAGAAAAGGCGGGGGAATTAGAGATTGGGGTCTGCGATGCCATTGTCCTGGCTCCCCTGACTCTACAGAGCCCTCACCAATGCTCAATCACGACGGTCGCCTCATCCACTCCCTCCACACCGTTCGCCTCCTTCTCTCGCTTCTCCGCCGTCGCGACCACCGAGGCCTCGGCCTTCCGCTTCCTCCCACGGGGAGCCATAGCGCTTAGAGCCGACCGGGAAAAGAACCGACCTGGGAGGTGGGGGGAGAAGGAGGATAGGTGATGACGCGAATACTGAGCAGCAACTGAGCAGTGGACAGCCCGCCCCAAACTCCAAACCTTAGGTTAGAATCTCTGACCCCGCAGCGGAAACCTCTACCCAGGAGCAAAACTCCCGGTCCGCAGAGTCCACGAGGCCTGCCGGGGGGCGGGACCGACGGGCACAACCACTCTGCACTCTGGGAGGAGGAGCGCCAGACCAAACCATCCGGTGGACACAGTAGGGGGTGGGGACCAGATAGGTCTGCAGGCAAGCCTGGTTCACAGGCTTTTCTATACCTAGGCGTTGAGCTAAATGGTGTGCGCCACTACCCACCTTGCAAACCCTCCTCCCTGGGATTGTTAGAATGAGCCCAACGTAAATCACGGGGTAACTTTGTGCGGTCTGTACTCTATGATTAGGACGCTAGATTTACCCTATTTGGTAATCCTGGAGATAGATCGATGCCCAGGATTGGTGAAAGAAGACAAGTTGGGTTTTTACACTAAGGAGATGGGCAATATCCTCTGCAGTTGCCGTTTTTTTTGTTTGGTTTTTGAGACAGCGTCTCACTCCGCCGCCCTGGCTAGAGTGCGGTGGCCTCAGCCTATCCCACAGCAACCTCAAACCCCTGAACTCAAGGATCCTACTGCCTCAGCCTCCCACGTGTGACTTTAAGAGTCGGCCATGAGGCCCGGCTAATCTTTCTCGCTTTGCGCAGGCTGGTCTTGAACTCCTGACCTCACGTGATCCACCTGCCTTGGCCTCTTAGACTGCTAGGATTATAAATGTGAGCCATCACACCCCACTTTGGCTTTTTGTTTTTGAGACAGGGTGTCACCGTTGCATGGGCTAGAATGCAGTGGCATCATCATAGCTCACTGCAACTACTAACTCCTGGGCACAAGTGATTATAGGGATCACAGTGAACCACCCTTTTCCCTTTTGTTGGTTCGCTGAAAGTTCAATTTACAGTTACAGCAGATTAATAAGAGAAAGGTTTTTTTTCCAAATCTGCGCATGAGGGAAACCACAAGAATGATTACCCAGTGTCTCAGGGATGCTCAGAGACCTCTATAGATTACTTTTGGAAGGAAGGGGGAAGAATGTGCAAAGTATGGGGGTAGCAAATGGTTGCTAGGGGCATATGGTGATGGAAGGAAACAGATTGACTTGTAAATTAACCTGAGACACAGATATTGTGTTTTAAATGATTTGGGCAGGAGCCTCACCTGAGCTTATGGGTGGGGGACCTGGGTCTCTAAAAATAACTGGGGGTTGTGGCTGGTGCCTGTAGTCCCAGCCACTGGGGAAGCTGAGGCAAGAGAATCACTTGAGCTCAAGAGTATGAGGTTGCTGTAACTATAATGCTACTACACTCTAAGGGGGGGGTGTGTGTGTGACAAAGTGAGACTGTCTCAAAAAAAAGGAAGTCAGCATCCCTTTTTGATCTCTAATCAAGTTAGTCTGGTTTTATGTAGATAGAGGGAAGGCCTCTTCCAATGCTTTCTGATCATGAATGGCCTTTAATTAAAAATATTCTTTATACCAAGGAGTCGTATTTTGGAGGTGAAATTTCCTTGGCTCCTTTACAATCCTCCAGAGGCCTGGGCCACAACATCTATAGTCCCAGCTAATATTTTTTTTATTCTTCCTACATTGCTCAAGTTAGTCTGGAATTCCTGACCTTAAGCAATCCTGCATCAACCTCCCAAAGTGCTGGGATTATAGGTCTATGCTTTATACTCAAGACAATCACATAAAGGCACAAACAAAAGGAAATCCCAATCTCTTTATTATGGAAAACAATCAACTGGGAGAAGAGGGAATAGATTGGGGGAGGGGTTGTGAAATACCAATCCAGTCCAGGGGCTTTCTTCTCCAGGTGACAACACACAAATGAACATCTCAAACCTCTACTTGCCTTCCTCTAAATCCCCACAAGATAGGGGGATTGTCTAAAACTAAGTTCAGTGATGAAGCTTCTGTGGTTAAAGGTTTGTCCTTGAGACCTGTGGCAAAGTTAGGGTTATACTTTTAATGAATGCCATAAACCAAGCAAGTAGGGCCTAAGGAAGCAAGGTTCCTTGAAGAAAAATTGTTAGCATTCTATACCTCAGCATCTTACCTTACAGTTCAATCTAGGTCTAACTAAGCTGTGTGGGTCCACTATAAAGAATAATGAAACCACAGAGATGTCTAAGTGGTTAATAGTTAACCACTTAGTGGTCAGTTAACACACTGACCCAGACTTGAAGGGAAACCATTTCCTCCTCCATCATATGAGAACGTCCTTTCCTCTGGTGAAAAAGTTGGCCACAGCAGGGCAGACCTTCCTGTAGGGTGCCTAACAATTCCCTGGAAGCCTCTTGAAAATCAAGTGGTACCTTGCCCCACCCAGGTACAGCAAAACAGGGAAAAATATAAATAAAAGTCTGAGGCTTGTTGTTTTAGAAGGAGCAGGGCCTCAAAGTAGCCTGGAATTGGTAAGAGAGGAAGCACTGACAAGGCCAGGATCCTATTTGTCCTTCTTGTTTTCTCCATCTGGCACTGTGGTGGGAGTTGGAGCCATAGGCTGCTCCTCAGGGATACTGTCTCCAGCCTTTGATAGCTTCTTGGCCCGCTGATATAGCTCATTCAAGTTGAATTCTCGGATCACATTCTCCTGTACAACAGAGATGCACACATCAGGATTTGGGTGGGAAAGAAGAGTTCAAAGCCTAGGAAATAAGAAGTATTTAGACAAAGTCTAGGAAAGAGGAAAGGAAGCAAAGAACAGAAACCTGCCCTACCCAAACAATCTTCCTTTTGGGGGTACTCAGAAAAGTCAACTAATATGTAAATACCCATTAAGTACCATCCAATGTGAAAGAATAATACCTATATTATTTAATGTAACTTGCAAAACAATCCTGTGAGCCAAGTGTTACTGTCTCCAATTTACCAAAGATGAACCTAACACCTTACAGACTATATGTGCACCAGCCTTAGACACTGAGTCTGAACTAATAATTGTTCCCCAGTACTAGGTCTGGCACATAAGATAAATTTGCTAAGTGAATCAATGAAGTCTACTAAGCAGTCCACACTTGCAAAGCTACTGTGCAAGTAGCGGAAGTATGAAATCAAATCCAGGTTGGGCTCCAAAGCCCATTCACTGTTCTACATCCTCCTCCAAATCACTTTGTCATCCTTTCAGATACCTCAGAGAAGGTCCAAGAGACAGCTCGTCCCTTCTTGTCAATCTGTGGTCGCCGCATTACTTCTTTGCCACCTTGGAACAGGATCAGGGTAGGGAGTTGTTTGGTGAGGGGTGATGTACTCACTTTGTACCTACAGGGCCCAGAAAGTACTCTGTAAATGCATCTGTGTACATCACTCAAAGCGATTCCCTGCTCAGACCCGCTGTCCAGGTCTTTACATACCGTGTACTAACATCAGTGTAGCGTCCAACATCCACCTTCCCAAAATTTAGCCCTGTACAGTTGTACCTGAGAAGAATACGTTATTTACCATACCAACAGAAGAATGAAAAATCAAGGAAAATGGAAATGTAGATATTTGGGGATGGGAGAAACATGCCTTTGGCAACCATGTGCAAAAATCAAGGCCAAAAAACTGTGAGGGAAGGCAAAGCACCTCAATTCCCACCATTTCTCCCCAAGCACTACTCACTTGAGGGAGAGGTCAGCATAGATAGGAGCAAATGACTGGCAGTCATTAGACCAGTTGGCAAAGAACTCCACAATCCAAGTGACCCTCTTGTCCCGCTCTAGTTCCTCCTGCCACACACAGGGAAGAAAAATTAGCTAGATCACACAGGCTCCTGAGAAGGTTCAGACCTTAGAATCTAATTCTTCTTCCTGGCTTTCCCTCTCCATCAGCTCCCAAAATAAACCACAGTGCCTTTTACTTGCATTTTAAGCACTATTGTTCCTCTTAGTAAACAGCAAGCACAATCAGCAGGGACCCAAGAAACAGAAGGGAGGAAGACCACTCACATCGATAGTTTTATCATTGAAGTACTTGATGTATTCAGGACCCATATACAGAGGGGGTTTGCAGGTCATCAGGAACACTAAATATAGAAAGAAGATGTCAGAGGGAACATAAGATCTTATGTTGGGGGCGGCACCCTTAGCTCAGTTGGCAAGGGCACCAGCCATATACACCTATGGTGGCAAGTTTGAACCTGGCCTGGGTCTGCTAAGCAACAATGACAACTGCAACCAAAAATAGCCAGCTGTTGTGGTGGGCGCCTGTAGTCCCAGCTACTTTGGGAGGCTGTGGCAAGAGAGAATCGCTTAAGTCCAAGAGCCGGAGGTTGCTATGAGCTTGGACGCCACAGCCCTCTACCCAGGGTGACAGCTTGAGACTCTGTCTCAAAAAAAAAGAAAGAAAGAAACAGAAAAAGCTCTTACATTGGGGATTTATTCTCAAACCAATTCAAGTTCAAGGATTTCAGCCACTGAAGAATAAACACTGTGGACGTATGTAGAGCACCAAGACATTCCTTTCCCCTTAAAGTACAGTCTCTGTAGATTCTTTTTTTTTTTTTTTTTTTTTTTGAGACAGAGCCTCAAGCTGTCCCCCTGGGTAGAATGCTGTGGCATTACAGCTCACAGCAACCTCCAACTCCTGGGCTCAAGCGAGTCTCTTGCCTCCGCCTCCCAAGTAGCTGGGACCACAG